GGAGAACCCATCATCAGTTTTCTGCGGCTTTGGCACGGGGTCCACCACTGCCTCTCTCTGTGCTTGGCTCTGGTATGCAGCAGCTGCCCGGGGGGCCCTACCTCTGCCTCTGCCCCCACATCTGCATCGAATCTAAGGAACAGCTTCTTGCCATGTACCTGTGTATCCTGAAGCCACAGGAACTGCAGGGTGGCAGGACACAGCTTTTTACTGCTGCCCCCTGTCTTGACCACCTGCTGGCCCACAAAGGCAGAAGCCAGATGGTGGAACTTCCTCACAGAAGGCCCTTCCGGCATCCTTGCAATCCCAGTTACTGGAGAAGGTGAGGCAGGAGATCAAGTTTGAGGCCAGCCTGTGCAACTTAGAGAACCTGGCAGGTGGGCGCTATGACCTCGGTGACGCAGGCCCGGGCGAAGGCTGGGGTTCGGCTGCGCGCCGGGCTTCTCGGGAGTTCGGAGCCGGGACGCGCAGCACCGCGAGGTCGCCAGGGGGATCCTAGGTGGAGGCCGCCTCCAGGAGGGCGGAGCCCGGTGTGGGCTACCTCCTTATTTTGTATTTGCTCTTTGTGTGTGTGTGTGTGTGTGTGTGTGTGTGTGTGTGTGTGTGTGGCACCTGGGATTGAACTCAGGCCCTTGAGCTTGCCAGACAAACTCTTATTCTACTGAGCTATCTCCCCGGCACCTGTATTTGCTCTTTAAATTATTTATGCTTTAGATCTCTCATAGAATAGAACCCATGTGATACTTGGGCTTGTGTCAGACTGACTTCTCACATTGCAATCTCAAAGTGTGATGCTGGTATTTTAATAGAGGTATAAAACAAGAGTGCAGAGAAAAACCAAACTTATCAATCCTTCAAATGGTTCAAGTTATTGGGTGAGTGAAAGCCAAGGATTGAGAAGAGGTAGCCAGAAAACTGGGCAACAAGTCCCTGTGCTGTCTATCCCGTTTCTGTGTTTTGTTGTTGTTGAAGGTGTTCTTTTTTAAATTGGCACATAAGAGTGGTACATATTTATGGAATACCATCTGATGTTTTATGTAATGTTGAGATATAATAATGTTTTATGCATAGTGTTCAGATCAGGGTTATGATATCTATCTCAAATATTTATTCTTTATTTATAATGAAAACATTCAAAATTGTTTCTTCTGGATTTTTGAAAGTGCAGCTTCATTGTTCTCTATGGTCGCCCTACTGTCCGAAGGATAGGACAACAGAGCAGGGCTCCCTTCTGCCATCTAGCTCACCTTAGCTCCCCCTGGCTAACCTCTTCCCATCCTTCTCTCTCCCTCTTCTTCTCCCAGCTTCTGGTAACCACCATTCTAATCTCAATTGCTAGGAGATAACATTTTTGATTCTACATATAAGTGAGATTGTTACTGTTTTGATCTAACATGTCCCTCAAAGTGTTATGTATTTAGAGGTGACACTTTTGGAAGGGCACTGGATCACAGGGTCACTGCACTTCTCAGCGACTTAATCCATTGATGAGCTCATACCTGAAAGTGCCGCTGGGAGGCAGGGGCTGCCCCGGAACCTGTCTTCCGGCTTGGCTTTCTCTGCTTCCTGCTGCCACAAGCTGAGCAGCTTCGCTCCCCACGCCCTTCACCAGGCCATTTCTGCCTTGGGCCCAGCCACATCCTGGCATGAACTGTGGTGAGCCAAAATAAACGCCTCTCCTTTAAGTTCTCGGTGTCCAGTGTTGTGTCCCAGGGACAGCAAAGTGGCTAAGAAAGAGATTATGCAGTACTTGTCTTTCTGTGTCTGGTTGGCATCACGTATCATAATGATGTCCAAGCTCATCCATGTTGTTGAAAAGGGCAGATTTTATCCTTTTTATGCTGAATAGAATTATCTAGTATACAATATCATGTTTCCTTGGTTCATTTACTATTTGATGGACACTTAGGTTGATTCTATTTCTTGCATATTGTGGTTGGTGTAGCAATGAACATGGGAGCATCGCTGTCGCTTTGATACACAGATTTCATTTCCTTTGCAAGTATGCAGTAGTAGGGTTGCTGAGTCATACTGCAGTTCTATGTTTCAGTTTTGAGAAATCTCCATACCATTTTTCTGTGGCAGCTCTCCTAATTTGCATATCCATCAGCCACGTACAGATGTTTCTATTTTTCATTATTCTTGTCAGCACTGGTATTTTGATAAGGATTGTATCATCTGTAGTCTTTCTAATAATAATCGTTCTGCCATGTGTGGCAACACATGCCTATAATCCCAGCACTAGGGAGGCTGAGGCGGAAAGGTCACCACCATGAGTTCAAGATCAGCCTGGGTGTCTCAGTTACTCTTCTCCCATTTCTGGGGCAAATACCCCACACTCAAAATGAAGGAAGGAAAGGTTATTTGGCTCCCAGTTAGTGGAGGTTTCAGTCCATACTCAGCTGGCTCCAAGGCAGACTAGCACATGGCAGAGGGCAGCAGCTCATGGCAGCAGAAGGCAGCAAAACAGCAAGAGCAAAAGGGAGGAGTAACAGCTACAATGGCTACAGAGAGCAAGGGTATCTCTCTGTCTCTTATGTTGCATTCAGGCTGTCTGCCTCAGGCTGGGTGTAGCACTCACACCCATAATCCCGGCAGTATTCACATCCATAATCCCAGTGGATCATGAGTTAATCACAAACTGTAGAACTAACTGCACCTCAATGACTGTGCAAGGTTTTGGGGAGACAAATATGCACAAACCATAACACTGGGCTACATAAGGAGTTCAAGGCCAGCCTGAAATATAGGTGAGACCCTGCCTGAAAGAAAAAAAAATAAAGCAAAATTTAAAAAAACAGGGATTCCAACTGGAATGAAATATCTCAGTTTATTTTGTGTTTTGCTGATAAGTGATATTGTCATGTGCCTGTTGCTATTGGCCAAGAAAGAAATATCTATATACACCTCTGGTTTATTTTTTAATCCAATTTTTTTTCTTGCTATTGAGTTTCTCTACTTCCTTATATGTTCTGGTTATTAACTCCTGATTGCCTATAGAGTGCGTAAATATTTTCTTACCTTGTGTAAGTTGTCTCTAATCTCTGTTGTTTATTGCTGTACAGAAACTTTATTGGCTTGATGTAGTCTTACCTGTCCATTTTTGCTTTTGCTTCTTGTGCTTTTTCAATCTGAGTCAAATGTCTGCCTATTCCATTGTCCCAAAACAGGTTCCCTATGCTTTCCTTTTGAAATTTCATAGTTTTATATTCTATGTTTGTTTTCGTTCTCCATTCTGTGTCGGCTTTCGTAACTGGTAAGGACCTGAAGCATGCTTTCGTCCTTGGTGTATCCACTGTTCCCAGTATCCATTAATGAAGAGGCATTCTGTCTCCCAAGTGTGTTCTTAGCCCCTCTGTCAAGCATTGCCTGTCAGCACATGCACGTGCTTACCTCTAGGCTCTCTATTCTGTCCCATGAACCTGTGTGTCTGGTCTTACACCACACCATTAGGCACTGGTTGCAGCAGCTTTACAGTGTGTCTTGAAGTCAAGTAATGAGTTGCCTGTTGCTTTGTTTCCCTCACTCCCAAGACCACTGGGGCTATTCAGATTTTATTTTCTGATTTTGCAAGAATTTCAGGATAAATGTGGCAGTAGTGGTGCACACCTACAATCGCAGCGCTGGGAGCCTTAGGAAAGAATCTCAAATTCAAGCCCACCCTGAGCACCTTACTGACCTAGCAAGACCCTGTTTCAAAAAATAAAAAAGACTGTGGATATAACTCAGTTCAATTCCAAGTACTGAAAAACAAAACAAGACAAAGTTGGGGTCATCTCTTTCTGGTTCTGTAAAGACTGTCACTAGTATTTGATAAGAATCGAATTGAATTGGGGATCACTTTGGGAAGTACGTGCATTTGAACAATGCTGATTCAACCTCTGACCAGGAGGATCTTTTTTGAGTGGAATCTTTTCAGTTTCTTGTATTCCAATTTCTTGCTGTAAACGTCCATTATGTCTTCAGATAAATTTGTTCCTAGAGAATTTTCTTTAGTAGCTATTATAACTAGGATTGCTTTCTTGATTTCTTGTTCAGGTAATTTGCCACTCCAATGTAAAAATGCTACTGATTTTCATGTTGCTTTTGTGTCCTACTGATATAGAGGAAATAAATGTAACTCTCAACCTACTAGATGTCAGATACACCGAATTCATGTCCCCCAAATAAAAAAAATGAATTCTAGGGCTGGCCAAATAGCTCAATGGATTAAAGCACTTGCAAGCAGATGAAGGGGCCAGAGTTCGATCTTGGGCTACAAGAGCTGTACACAGGTGGATCACTATGAGTCCAATCTAGTAGTGAGACCATGAACACCCTATAGACCTTTCCTTAAAATACAAAA